AGAGAGAGAGAGAGAGAGAGAGAGAGAGAGAGAGAGAGAGAGAGAGAGAACAAAATCAAATGAATCTACCCCTAGAACATGGAAATATACATTGCGCACATGCGCGCAGCACACCGGACATGCGCAGCGCACCGCGCACTGCGCACCCAGATGCGAGGCGCGCGCCGGTGCACGCGCACCCTGGGTCCGCGCACAGCGCACCGCGCAGCGCACAGTGCCGGTGCGCCGCAAGTATGGTAAAAACAATTTATGAACAAATTGAGGTACCGGGGCCATTACCCGGTTTCAGCTTGAGAGTATCCTCCAAGATCATGGACAAGCTACTGAAAATCGGGATCGATGATGATAAAACTACGCATCCTTTTTTACGATCGCTAAACACCTCCTGAAATCCACGGCAATTCTCCGAACACTCAAGTATCTAAGGGATTTCCAACAGATCATAACAAAGCTCACCAAAACTGACTTATTCTCTGACAAACTCATCCAGGCCTCACGCCCCCTATCCGCTAGGTTACAGAGCAACGCGACTCACTCCAGCTCCGACCAGTGTCGTCTCGTGTCAGCGACCCCCAGCTGTCCCTTATGATGCCCTCACATAGCATCCCCAGATCTCTCTACAAGGCCTCATGCCCTCACCTTCGGGAAGTTACCGGGCATCAACCCGACACCAGCCTGAGTGGTTCTAGCATGGAACAACCACCGATCCTGAATATAACAGTCTAATTCCAGTGCAACTTCGTACAAACCACCAGCAGTCCCTCAGAGTCCGGAGAGATTCTTCAAACTACCAGGAATAACAAGGGTGCTTGTTTTGAAAATTCCAGAAAGAATCAGAAAAAGTCCCAACCAAATACAAGCAAAGGATATAGAAATCCCCCTCTTTCCCCTCATCACCCTGCCCCACCGCTGCCTCCACTGAAAAGGACCGCCTCTGATCACGAACATTCCTCATTGGCCCCAACTTGGGACAGACCCGTTCCCCCCCCCCTACTCCCACAAAGGCATCCAGTTCCCACCCAAAGTATGCCTCTACCAACCCCTTGCCCTTATCTGCCACCGCTGGGATATCCATACATCTCCCCCAGCCCCGGAATAAAGCATCCCCCAAAATCTACCCCGTCTCCCTTTAGGGCAATCACCTCCCTCCTTGTGAAGCCCTTGCAGAGTAGAGCTTTCCCCTCTGAACCAACCCACCACCCCACCAGAAGTAATTTGTTTATGCTTGAGAGGAGAATCAGAATTCCGAACGTTGCTGTGGATTATTTCCTCCCCCTCCCCTCCATCTCCCCCTGTCCCTCCGCTGCCTCCACCGAAAAGGATTGCCCTAATGACAGGCTCTCCTTAACGGCCTCAACTTGGGACATACCTGCTTCCTCCCCCTACTTCCACTAAGGCATCCAGTTCTACCCAACGTGATGATGAAGTCAAACCACGCCCTATTGATGATGATGATGATGACGAGCAGCACCCTGATGATGATGACGAACCCTTACTGTGATGATGGTGCCGAAGCACGCCCTGTTGATGATGGTGCTGGTGATGATCAGCGCCCCGTTGCTGATGCCGAGCAGGGCCCTGATTATGCTGACACACCCACTTCCTCATGATTGCAATCGCCACTGCACTCACACTTCAGTTTACCAAGGGCTGACTCCACTGTACTCCACAGGTGTTGACGTAGCCAACGCCTCTCAGGCCATATGCCACGTGCAAAAACGCAGCAGCAATGGAGTGAAATGCTGAACTCCCAGAAGAAAGAAAAACAACGGGAGTTAGTCCATCCGCCACATCAGCTTGTGACGTGGCGTGGATAAGCGTCTCTGGTCACCTGCGCGTGCGCAAAGCGCCTGGTTGAGAGAAGAGATGGCCACCATTGCTGCCGCGCGCCTTCACCATGGCCCACCTGTGCGATGTCACAACCCAGGGCGGGGCGCAGCGCTCCCGGTAGCGCCGTGCCCCTTGAGATATCATCTTTGAAATCCCTCCCAGCAATTCTCATCTGATGCTGTGCTGTGTACCAATCCCACCTCTACCCAGTCTCACACCCTCTATTTAGCTAAGTTACTCCACTTGGTTGCTGCTTATGGAGTAAATTAATTCAGACACGTTGTGTCCTAAAGTGCGGTACTCAGTGTCAATGACAGATTGTATGCTATGCTCCAAAAAAGGACTCCTTTGACTTAATGCGACTGTAAATGTTGCCATGTTCGTCCCTTTTTTCTTTTTTTTTCCCCTTGCTCCATATTGGATGTGTGGACTGCCTCGTATGCGCTCTGCCGCTGCCTTGCTGCCTGTTCCACTTGCTTCGCAGGTCATTCTTGGCAACCTACTATCTTCCCTGTGAGGTTTGGCCGTGTTGTTGGTGTTGCCTTCCGCGGTTCGCTGTTCTGGTCTTGTCGCCCTTCCGCTGGCCATGTGTGGCATACTGCGCAGCCACACGGGCCTGCAAGGCCCAACCAGACGGAAATTCAGGGCCCTGCAGGCCCTGTGTCGTTTCAGCCTAAAAGCCTGAAAACAAGGGCCTACAGGCGCTGTGTCGTTTCAGCCTAAAAGCCTGAAAACGAGGGCCTACAGGCCCTGTGTCGTTTTAGCTTACAAGCCTGAAAACAGGGCCTGCAGGCCCTGTGTCGTTTCCTGTGTCGTTTCAGCCTAAAAGCCTGAAAACGAGGGCCATTTTCAGGCCCTCATAAAGTCGACATGCCCTGAAACTTAGGCACCAGACCAGGGTTTTAGCACATGCCATTTTTGGCCTGTTTTCAAGACAACCTTTGTTTGAACTTCAACGCCAGGGTCTGGCACGTTTTGGCATTGGCAAGAGCAGCCTCCTGGACGGGCCAGCACTATATAAGACTGGCCCGCCCTACAGGCTGCAGGGAGTGACGAGGTAGTTCATAGGGACTTCGCAGGCACTTCACGTGCAGGAGGCAGGAGGCAGTCTTCAGGATTCGGCAGCAGCACTCTGGAGGAGCGCTGCAGTAGTAGTAGTAGCGTTAGCAGTAGTCTTCAGCGCTGGGCGCTATTAGGAGCTAGAGTAGCGTTGGAGAGAGAGAGATGGTTGGCGGAGGCCAGGGAGACTTACCTGTGGCGCCATAGCTCCAGCTTCGTCTTCGATGTATCTGCAACAAGGCGCCACCTTCACAGGTTAGTACC